ATATCTTCTTCAGTACAATACTAAATAAAAAATAACATGCATTTTGAATGATCACTCTTATTTTGGTAAAATAATTAACATTTTGCTGTTTCTGCAAGGTCTATGTGAACTAACAGAACCGTATGTTATGTCTTTTTTTTTTTCCTGCAAAATTTATTAAAAACAATTTCAGTGTATAAATATTTATTTTTTATTAAATTTTTTTAAATGACTTTTTTTGTGGACTTGTAAAGTAGTCATGTAAATGCCTACATACATTACTACAGTAATAATTCAATAGCCTCATATACTTTGTATTAAAATACCATGATATGGCATCAGATACCATCATTGTACCATGGTACCACCACCCAATTTTATTTATTTATTTTCAGTTCCACCAATTGGTCATAGTGTGTGTGTGATCCATCAATCATCCATAAATGTGGTTGATTTATACGAAATATTTCAGTACAGCCTCTTTTTGCGGAGTGTCACAATCGGAGGAGCTTGTGAGACCATCCTAAAATTGTGGTGGGCATTTTGAAACCACCCCTTCAGTTGTATTATTGTGCAGATTCGATCACCTCTTAGATTTTCCATTCATTGCACAGGTTTCCTTTGAAGTCTGGCTATCGGGCCTTTCTCTGAAGAGCCTTTTTCAAAAGCATCACACCTTTGATCCAGTGTCTGTAGAAAAAGCATTAATAAACATTGGTTCCTCATCTATACTTAAATGATGCCTTTTGTTATTTCAACCCATTTGGATTAAATATACCCTATAAATCCATACATATTTAAATCTTTTTGTTAAATGATTGTATATATGCTATTATGAAGACTGTGACAAAACATTTACGTCTTTGGCAAAGTAACTTGCATCATGGGTCCACCACATGTTGGTCTGGTAGAAAATGCTGACAACACTATTGGGGTTTTAAAGAGCTGCATTTTCTAAACCTTCAGCTGTCAAAAAAGCCACAGCAGAAGTTTTATTACTGTTTTTAGAAGCTGTCACTTTGGTTTACCCGAGGAACTGGGTGATGGCTCGCAGTTTGTGCTCACTTTTACGCAAATGTTTTCACATGTCCGTTAGCTTTTACAACTGACTTTTACAAGTACAGAAAAGCCAAAAGTCCATGCTAAAGTCACACATAGAATTATACAGTATGTAGTATTTTATGGGACATCTGATCCCAGAGTATATCTGAGCAAACATGTGTCAGGTTCCCACACAGGGTGTGTTATTTGCTTACTAAGAATAGTAGCGTTCTTACTGTGTGTTAACTGGGTTGATCACTGAAATCTACAGCCTGGGTGATTTTTAAAGGTGTCAAACGTCAACCTAGCTTGAAACCTTACTCATGACACAACCTGGCAAAAGATGGGAGATTTTCTGGTTGAGTTTGGTTTTGTAGTGACATTCAGTTGCCTCATAAAAATGTTTTGTGAGTTTTGATTTACCTTGTGAGACCAATTAAATATATTTGTTTTATTTATGTACAGCATGTATGACTTGTGGACTAACTGTAAAGATAATTATATATTTTATATATAATATATAATATAATTTGCTTATTTTCAGGTGATGCAATATGCTTTTCATAACATGTCTGTATCATTTGTCATGTGTTGTAGAGGTTAAATGGAGAGCTTCCTCAGAGTGCTGAGGAACTTGAGAACGTCTTTGATACTCTGGACGCAGATGCCAACGGATATCTGACCTTTGAGGAGTTCTCCTCCGGCTTTAGTGTGTTTGCATTTGAATCTATACAGCATTTAGAAAAATAATTTAAAACGAAATTGATTATTGAAACATATGATTGATATTGTATGTTGTATTTTGTGTCGTCTGTATCATTTAAAAGTTTGCTAATGTATTTATGTCTCCCATTCAGGTGAATTTATGTTTGGTCCAGGTGTGGTGTCAGTAGATCCACATGCAGATGAGCAGCCGGTCTCAGGAAAGACTCCGGAAGTACTCTATGAGAGCCAATGGGAGGAGAGACTCAGCAGGGGAGAGGATGACGAGGAGAAACACTTCTGCATGCTAATGGAGAACCTGGGGGCAAGCAACATCTTTGAAGAGTGAGAGTCATTTCAGTCAACCACGCTGTTTGAAACAGATAGTGTGATTGTAGTGCAGTTCCATGCAAGAATATTTCCACTAATGTATAGATCAGATAACTGAAATAGATTACAAACTAAAAATGAATATTAATTATTCATTTTTAGGTTGTTACATATTTCAGTTACTATATGATTTATACATTCTTAGAAGTATTCTTGCATGGAACTACACTAAGATGTTGTTTTCATGCTATAAAACACAATTCTAAAAAATATAATTTAGATTTAATTTGAATGCGACTTCACAGCAAAATGGAAAAGGCATAAGAATTTAATCAGCTATATGTACAATAGAAATTTCACCAAAACCAATCAATAGTAAGAGACAGCAGACTTTTTTCTTCTTCTCCTGAGAAAAATTTAGATTTTCTATCAAATATCAAACTGTAAAAGCTTATTTAGTTGCTAGATTTTTTTTTTAAATAAATGTAAGAAAAATATTATTACATTTTTATATATATATATATATATAT